TTTGAAAAGCGGTTAGGTCCATAAATACACGAATGCATTATCTTTAAAAGTTACGACCACCTCCATGTACTGGGTGGCGCACAAGGTCGCTGTCGGATGATGAAAAGAGGTCACCTCTCGCAGTAACTCTTACGAGAATCGATTTTGGACTAATCCCTTAGTTTATCGATATTCTACTTCTAAAGAATTTGCGAAAAATCTAAAAATACATGGTTAATCCATCAAAATTATGTCGTTTCTTGTATCATCGATCGTTGGGGCATGCAATCCATGTAAATTTCCACATTTGATCAATAATATGTTGTTTCTCCTTCTGTTTCCTTATATTCTATTGGCTCTTAATTCCATAATTTATCTGTGGTTTCGATGTTTTCGAGTTTGTCCTTAAAAAGAATTAGTTCGTGCTCTTTGCTTAGTATTTGCGTTCATGGTGTCTCAAATATGCCTACCATTTGATCGTCGTTAATCTTTCTTTTTCAAAATTTTTTCTATGAATGTGAAAGGGCGGACTAATAAATAACATAGAAGTTACACCTCTCTTTAGTACGGTAGGGTTACGGTGAAAATTTTTCGCTGCCGTTTCTCTGTTGGCGTGAAGCACTATTGGCATTAACCCAAAGGCAGTTCTAATTTGTGGAAACTGCTCTTGATTATTGAGTATGTATATTAATCACTAGATAACATAAGGTTCTGTAACAAAGTTGTAACAAGGTTGACAAGAAACATCAAGACTACCCACCACTTCACACACAGTAATCCTACCGTAATGCCAGTGTTGTGGGCAAGAGTAAGAGGAATCAAGTGCAAGGTAACCAAAAAAAGTTTCGGTTGTAGTCTCAAGTTCACTGAGGCTTTTGTGGACAAGCCGGTATTTTTTTGTCTTGATTTAAATTGTTTCAAATTGTTTAAGGCAAGTCTTCATGAAAGAGTATCAAAGATCAAAGAATGGGAAATTTTACACTTATATTCTTACATATTTTCTATTCTTTTTCAATAAAATCTCTTAACTCTTTGTCAAATGATTTATAGGATATGTCTCAGACATGCAAGTAAATAAAACAAAATACAAAGAAATCTTTTCGGTGCTATGGAAGCCAGAATCTGAAGAAGTAATTAACTCAGCCGAATCTGTTCCTTAAACCGTATTTTGGAAACCTATATGGCTATGTACTTACATAGTTGTTGTAATCAACATCATTTCCAAATTTCCTGACTAAACACTCATTTTAAGAAGTGCAGAGTCATATGAAACAATGGAAAGTACTAAACATTTACTTCTCCAGTTCTGTTTTGCACAGGAAAACTGACTTCGCTTCTTTTGTTTGTATATAATTAAATACGTGCTCGGGACTGTTCTTGAAGTCTTCTCCTTATTCGTTTGCCCTAGAATTCATTTTCCCTCAAGTTGCGTACCAATAGAATTCAAATCTTATTCTTATCTCTTTTTCTCGTCTCCAATATTTAATGAGGGAAAAGTAGTACAGGGAGGCTTGTAATCGGACAACTCCCATTGAAATTATCTTTTCCCGTCTTTCAGAAGCAGTGAGTCGGAAAAGGTTGCTG